CCTCAACTGCTCTCACTCTCAGTTCTGCCCTCGTGGTTGTATATGGTGTATATTGTTAATGCCTTCCGTTCCCTTGGACTCACCTTCTTTACCGATATCGCGGAAGCCGTGCAGTTCGATCTGTCGACCATTTTCTGTAAAAATCGTTCCTCTTCATTAATTTTGTCAAATTTTGATTTATTCCGCGTGATTTGCCTGTCGAGACTCGAATTGACTTCACTTTTGTGATCAACCCGAAAACATCATATTGTACTGCAGCCACCATGTGCTCTCCATCTGTGTCGCCTACTTTTTACACAAGAAAAGGTCCCGTTTACTTCTCGTTAAATATGAACAAAGATGTTATATGTTTATGTATATGATCCAATCTAAGGTTTATAACCATTTCGCTCGCACTTTACTGTACTCCGTTTTGGATAGTATCGCTAACCGTGAATAGGAAGGTATTTTGTTGATTTTCTAATGCTGCGCTGCTTCACCAACTCCTAGGGATATTGATTTATTTTGAATGTTGATTTTTGTGATTGTTTCAATGAACGATTTTCTTAAACCGACTTCGTCTGTAAGTTCGTAATTGTTGACATCGAATTGGAAGAGTGTAGCCGTGGAAAGTGCGCCACAAGGGAACTAAAGCCTTCGGTTGATCGCTGCGACCGCTGCCATTCTTACCAATGGCAACATACACTGCGGTGCACTAGATTGCACCCCATAGAAAACTTAATTTTCTTGAAGAAAGCCCGAAACTTGTTGCCTCTGCCTACCATAGTCCACAAGAAATAGCGGGAGGAAGTAAACAGAATTTATTGACATATACTTATTTTCAAAGTTTGACAGACAGTTATCACTTTGAGTCCGTGCATAAATAACTGACGAAATCATTGTGGATCAAAAACTATGTAAAGTGTGCTCCTCCCATCTAAAGTGTCCCTTCTTCTCAGTGAGCTTGAGACTGGAAGCAGATTTTGAATCAGTGCATTGTAAGCAGCTGTTGCGGCAGAGTTTTCCGCTCATTTGTAATGGCATTTCTTAGCGGCTAAACATTGTCATGCTCTCATGCGTGAACTCTCACCGTTACGTATACCTAGATATTCCTGGACGGCGTTGTAAATAGACTGACATCCGGCGATGAAAAATGGTCTTATTAGGGAAATGACAGGCAGTGCATCCACAAGTAAAGGATTCGAACGTTCTTTTGCACGAAGATGAAAGTTCTTGTTAAGTCTAAGAAACAATGTACCCAAACGTGTACGCTGACTGATAGTTATGGCTTCTCATTCACAAGAATCAAAATGAATCTCAAGGCTACTACCACTAGAGGATGCCCACCAAACCATTCAGGAGAATGCACCGTGTTGCTTCGAGGCATCAGTAGTGGTTCACTTCTGCAAAGAGCAGTTCGAGTGCCGTTAACACGACTCACCTCCGCCTAACAAAATTTCAACTATCGAAAGCAATACCTGTAGGGAAAAATAGGAAAATAGAAAAATATACAGCTAACCTAAGCTAAAAATGCCCACACCCCGCTGCTAATCTCTGTAATCTAACATCCGCAAAGGGAAACCGCTAAGGTCATGATACATTGATCAGGCGTCTGGCTTATTATTGTCAAACCTATGTCCGACATTTTCACAAACAGACACGCCACTTCGAACGTCACATCGCCGCAGCGCCCAGCCATTCAAGGCAACCTTTGTGAAACAATGCATAATCCAACAGGCCTGCCCGCACAGGGACGGTGACTTCCGTGCCATCTTGTCTTACAAACAGTTAAGAATGATTCTTGATACACAGGGGGGCAACTAGTACCCTAGAATGCAGGGTTTCCAAGAGATTTGGAGATCACCCGTGCCTAGAAGAAGTAACGCTCCAGTTTGAATACAGTCTTCGTTTTGTGAAACGCGTATGCTTCACATAATACGTGAGTACATGTGAAATCAAAAAAGCAAAAAAAAAAAAACGTCGGAAAAATTGAATATCTCAAATCGTCCAATCTATTGTGCACCGCCAAAAAAATCAATATTTCACTCTAAAAATTTTCAAAGACAGTGTGTCTAACTGAATATTGTGTCAACATTATTTATCTACTTCCCCAGGAAATATATCAACAGCAGAATCAATAAAAGTTTCGGCCTCTCTCAAAAACTAAGTTTTTATAGGGTGCAATCTATTGTGCACCGGGGTGTATTGTGACCTGCGCCTTTTCGCGTTTCCCTCTTATCGGCCTCTGTTCTCTTCGTCGTCCCATAGTCGACACTCTTAAAAAACTGCAAGTGTGTTGCTTTTTGCTCATTTCTCCCAGTAACGTTTCCTCATCGCACTTGTAGTTCAATTCCCGAACAAATAACAGCAATTCGATAGTGTTTCGCCCACAAGTTGTTGACAGGGCTGCGGGGTCGGAAGACTTGAAACAGCAAGAGGGGCACGAATCAAATCACAGACGTGGCCTAACAATCCCGGAAGCGTTTGTTTCGTCTGTTCACGGCGTTGAAATCCATCTTTGTTGACTCAAAATTTCAAACTCGGCGTAATTCTCACAAAATCTGTCATAATAGGACTGTCGAAAATATTCGCCGAAAAAAGTTTCTGTTGTGTTCTTCTTCCCACTTCACCTTAGAAAATCCAATACCATCACAGAGATATCCGCGCACATCACAAATCTGAAAGTCAGACTCAGGAATGTAAAAGGGCTTGATTGGTAAGTAGCCTGGTGATGTTTAGTCATATACCAAGGTGAGCCAAAAAAAGAGACACTTCTCACTCCACCATTTAGAACCAGAATTAATCATGTCGCTTTTACCCAAACCAAATCGACACCTCTACTCAGTATTAAAGCGCACTATTTAGAAAGTACAATGACAGTCCCTCGTACCCAATATGGGTGCGGCGCTCGGCGCGAAATTTTCCCCACGAACATAGTCAACGGTAACGGCTCCACAGTCGCGAGTTACCTATAGACCATTCCGACTCCTGAAACACGGTCAAAATCGTTCGCATAGCACAGCTAATCTTTGGAAGCACTATTCAATACATGTCAAATCCTCGAGAGAATTATGCAGCAGCTCATAGCCGGAGCGATAGTGAGCCCGTTGACCTCTACGTGGCGCAGATGACGTTCAGTATTCTGAAGACGGCGACAGTGAAGAGGGCCTGCTTCTGTTTACGGGGGAACACCTTAGGAATATTCCGCCGTAAAACTTTCATTAACATCGGCACCCTGTGCGACGAAAAGTTCGATGATGTGCGCCATGGGCAAAGTGTCTCTTTTTTTGGCCACCCCTGTATATAGTAGGTTCCTATAGCTCTGACTTCCTAAAATGAAGTGAATGGAAACACTTGTGAATAAACGCCCGCTAAACAGAATCGGGCTCGACAAGAATTCCTTTACAATGTTTGCGCATGGCAATATCCTCATAACAACTCAAAGGTATATATAACACGTATCTGGTTTTCTTGGACGCATTTACGTTATTTCCTCAAGCTGCAGTGCAGCTGAAAGCAGTTGATGAAGGAGGAATAAACACAGGAGGAGGAATGTAGGCTCACGCAAGGAAGCGTAGGTTCTGGCGGTTGCTGGGGACCAATTTGGTATAAGTATAAAGCATCAGGCACTGATGAGCTCGTTCCGGAACGCACCACATTTTGCTTCCGTTCTGAGTCGTAATGGCATTTGGAATGCTACTCACCATAGGAAATGACTTGCGTGGGCCAGCCGATGTACAAGTCAGTATTCTCATTCTTTAGGAGAGTCTAATACCAGTTTGCTGACCCCTTGCAGTGATGGAAAGCCTGTCAGGCCTGGCAGACGTGTGACTTCGGATTTGATCCCGACTGGGAGTGCCAGCGGCAACACTTGCCTGTAAACCACTTTCGCCAAGAAATAATACATGAAAAATATTTTTGAATTCTATCGACCGCCGGATTGTGGAGAATTCAAAATTGAAACCCTACTGGATCGATGTGTTCCGTGCTACATGCTGATATTTTCCTTCATTTCACATAGGCGGCTTGTCCGTAATACTTCACGAGGATCGCATGAGAGGGCTGCCTGAAGCACTTGACGGCAGGGTCAAATATTAGCCGTTGAGCGTATTTATCTCTGTCTTGGTGAGAAGCACCTCTTCTTTGCTCTTTGTGAATACCGTCATTCACGCACCAAATTTCTTTACCTTCTACCACACACCTCATTCTGCAACGGAGAGGAAAATCGTCTCTCTGTTGATTTCCATCTTCATGGATAATCAGCTTTAAGAACTGTCAGAATAAGGCAGAATAATTCACCTTGATTTAAAGATCGTTTTATTGTTCCTTTCGGGCCATTTCTTCTACAGGTACTGAGTTAACCCTTTTGCTTTCAGACGCATATGCTGTGGCCTGTATTTTTCATGGACAGCGTTGCTTGTCGCTGATCGATCTTGCTCGTTCAATGCAAACATTTCACCGTTTTCTCAGACTCGCAGAGTCTCATCATTTTCTCAATAACGGGTCATGAATTCTATGTTCTTGACCTATTCCTCATCCTCTTAGTCGGTGCTGTCTAAGATTTAGTTGGTGCTGAATAACCTAATCTTTACCAAAGTTACTGATCGGTTTTAGTAACGTGATTGACAGTAATAGTGGGAAGCAGTAGGCAGACCAATGAGATAGGTTGCAACGAACAGCATGATAAGCTTTTTTTTCCCAAATTTTGAGTATTTTCAGAATTTTTTGTGCCAGTAAATCTTTGGTTCTCTGAGAATCACGGACTAGTCTGACATTTGGTAAAGGATCTAGGTATTCCTCTACTATTGAGGAAACTCATTTCTTCACATTCTAAAAATTTCTCGGAATACTTATGCTCATTGAGTTTTTTAACGCACGTGATCTTTATTGGACCTACGGCCGATTTTGTTCCTTTTTATTCCGTTATATTTATTTCAAAATTCTGTGTGACCGTATAGATTATGGCATTATTGCTGACGTACATGGCATTGCGCGATTTTCCTGTCTGAAACATTTCGTGGATGCCATCGCCAGCATCCCACCCGCTGAAGGAAACTAATATGCAAACGCTCGAAGAAGTACGTAACGCACCTGTAGAGACCTGTGGCAAACAGTTCTCCGAACCGGAACTGAAAAATGTTCTCGCACTGAACAAATCATATCTGCTTGTGAGTTTTAGAAACATCAGAATTTCCATCTTATCCTTTTCTGTTTAAGAGCTATTGATTATATAGAAATTTAAAATCAAAGCATTAACGGAAATCTTGCCATATTCTTTACCCAAGGCTTTTTGAACTTGGTGAAAAAATTTTTCTCGGCGTTCGAATGCCCAGACTCCCGTACCATTCCATCCATAGAACTTTCCCCTATGATGGAGCACACAATTGGGAAAGAAAGCAGGTAACTGCTTTGCCTAAGAAAACGGGTCCGGCAGCAGAGATTTGAGTCTCAAGCAAAAGACTGTGAACGCAAAGAATTGAATGAAAGCTCTCTAGACAACCTGTGCCCTCGTTAACCGTGGAGCCCAAATGGAAAAGAATTATGTGAAGCAACATATTGTCGTTTGAGGAAAAAAGAACGACAATGGGATGACGTTCAAAGAAGTGACCAAAAATATAACAAAGCCAATAACAAAATGGAAGGGAATTTTCGGTCGACCAAATATGTAGTCTCAGTGCCATGGGTGATAAATGCTTGTATCGCTAGCACACCTCAAAAGGTACTCTCCGAATTTTAGGCTCTGTCGAAAAAAATGCATAGGGAGACACCGCATGCCAATACATAGTAGAGGAAGGAAAAATGTTGAAGTCTTCTGGAGCAATCCCATTATCTCATTGTCAGCAGATTGTTCGTGAACTGTACAAGTTGTGAGTAGAAAGCTGCCAGGCGACATCGTGAAGTTATTCAACTGCCGTCGGAATTTTAAACAGACAACAAGATTGACAGCATAAAATTCGTGTAGGGACGGTATGGGACTTGATATTTCGATGATGCTGAGGATAGACGAGGATGTTTCCTGACAGATGAGTGAGTAGAGGGCTCACACCACGCAGGACCGACCGCAGACGGGATTGGTGGATCGAGGCGGTGGATGAACACCGAAGTCGACGGCAGAAGCGTGCGTGTGGATTAAAGCAGTTGACAGCGAATTAAGGGACCTAATAATGGACAGTTATTCTTCAAACAGCCTTCGCATTGATTTGCCGCATACCTTTGTCTGAGTCGGCTCAATGACGGTACGAAAGCTGATGGTTAAACGAGGGGTAGACACCGGGACAGCACGCTTCTGATGTAGTAAAGTAAGTAGAGTAAGTAGTAAAGTAAGTAGTAAGTAGTAAGTAGATGTAGTAAAGTGAAGTCAAACTCAGTTTTTGTCAGAGCCTTTCTCCTCGTGGTTCGTTGTCAGTGCAGGCTAAGCGGTTCATCAATTTATGCGTCCGAGCATTGATAGGCTTAACGGCAAATTTGTCATGGAATAGGGTTAAGATGAGGCAATGTAATCGGTAAACTGTTCTCGCGAGGTGCGGATTCGGTCACAGTCTGGGGCGAAGAGTTGTGCCAGTGCTCAGCAGCATTTTTGTAAACTAACTTTTCTTTCGTTTATTTTTTGATCTATCTGCAATAGCTTCAATAGGCATGTCGTTCACCGCTACAGCGTGTTTCACCTTTACCAGCGCTTTCGATCTTTTGATATTTTTATAAGAAGCCAGCAGCGTCCCGCACACTCCATTACAGGTAGGGCTCTTACGGAAGCTCCACTACAAATTCTTCGTTATGGGCACCATTGTGTAGGTAGAGGTCTAGGCTGCGGAACTCCAGAAGCTGGCCGAGGCAGCTCGTCAGGAGCCCTCGTACCGCGACAATATTTATTTCTTTCATGACATTGCGAATCACCATGATAAATGAGCCCGGTAAGAAATTCTGGAGCTGCGGCAAGATTTCTTACCTCTCTTAGCGTATTCCCCTGGTCGAGCTATAAATGACTGCCACCTATCCTGGACCTTAAATCATCATCTTGATGACGAAATAATTAGACGATCAACTCCAACTCGAAAGTGAGGTCGCCTCCTTTCTCGACCCGCACTCCGCTGGGTTTTGGAAAAGGAGCATCAAGAAATTTTCTGAGCGTTGAAGACAAGTGGTGGACACTCATGGTAGATATAGACCGGTCAGGAGTTGTAAACAAAAAAGATAAAATTAAAATCAAAAATGGGAAAAAGTATTGCAGGAATTTCTTTCCAACCCATTATAACTGTCCGAAAAAAAGACGGAAACATGGCGTTTTTGAATAATGAATTTTTATTTTGTCTCGAAGAGCGATATTCTAGTTCACCAAGCTGATGTGTTAGTATCGTTCAGGATGAGAAAAACCAACTCGTTGATGTGAACGCATGGTTGAAGCTTTCGTGGCACGATTACTCCCTTGAATGGGATCCGAAGGAGTACGAGGGTGTAGCCGACCTGCGATTCAAGTGAGTTTTTGTTCAATGTTCTATGCCTATCCAGTCGTACCTACTCCTCTATTTTCACCCCTGACCACCACC